TGGCCACGGTATTTCCATAACATATAGAGGTACTGGTGGGACATGTACATTGTCAGCATATACTTGGCACTTGTGACATCTTTTAGCGTATTGATGACAATTACCTTCCATTGTGGACCAGAAGTATCCTGCTCTAAGGTTTTTCCTAGCCATGACATGCCCTAGCATATGAGTCCCGAAGATTAACTCATGAATTTCTCTAATCAAGCTCTAGGCTTCTTCATGATCCACACATCTCAATAAAGTGGAATCAAAATTCTTTTTATAGGGGTTTCTCCAATCATCGTAAACCCTGCGACCCTTTTCCAAATGGTCCTTTTATCATTATCATTGATTCCCTTGGGATATTCACCCTTTGTGAGGTATCACTTAATGTCATGATACCAAGGAGATCTATCTTCCTCACTATTTGCTGTCATGCAAAAGGCTTGTTTATCATACCTTCTGACGTGAATAATTAGCATTTCATGTTCTTTATCTAACACAAACATGGATGACAGAGTAGCAAGGGCATTTGCCATCTGATTATCTTTCGAAGGGACATACTCGAAGCTAACACTTTCCATCCTCAAAGTCATATTATGAATGTACTCTAGATACGGGATTAATTTGGAATTTCTAGTTTCCCATTCACCCTTGAGTTGATAGATGACAAGGGATGAGTCACCGAATATCTTGAGTTTGGTTACCCCGTGATCTAGAGCTGCTTGGATACCCAAAGCGCAGGCTTCATATTCAACCATATTGTTTGTGCAATCAAAGTTCAGCATGGCCGTTACCGGGATGTACTTCTTTTCAGGAGATATTAGAACAGCTCAAATCCCATGTCCAAGCATGTTCAAGGCTCCATCGAAGAACATAATCCACACATTATCTTTAGGTTCTTCGTGTTGGATGTTCATTATATGCTCATCTGGAAAGTCGTCTTGTAGGGATTGGCATTCATCTGTTGATCCGTGTGCTAGGTAATCTGCTAAAGGACTACCTTTGATAGGTTTTTGGGTGACATGGACGATGTCAAATTCCGATAGGAGTACTTGCCACCTGGCTATTCTTCCGGTCAAGACGGCTTTTTCAAATAGATATTTGATTGGATCCATTTTGGAAACCAACCAGGTCGTGTGTCTAACCATATATTGCCGAAGACGTTGAGTTACCCACACCAGTGCACAACATGTTTTTTCGAATGGTGTATAACGGGTCTCATAGTCTAGAAATTTCTTATTGAGATGATATATGGTTTGCTCTTTCTTCCCGGTATCATCTTGTTGACCGAGCACACATCCCATAGACTCGTTGAGTACTAATAGATAAAGGATTAGAGGTTTTCCTTCAATGGGCGGCAGCGTTACTGGTGGATTGGTTAAGTACATCTTAATTTTTTCAAAAGCTTGTTGACACTCATCATTCCAAACTGTTGGTTGATTTTTATGCAATAGCTTGAAAATGGGTGCACACTCATTAGTTAATTGTGCGATGAAATGTGCAATGTAGTTTATCCGGCCTAAAAGCCTTTGTTTTATTAGGGTCTACCTCGATTCCGTTTTTACTAACGATGAACCTGAGGAGTTTACCCGACCATACTCCAAAAGTGCATTTAGCCGGGTTTAGCTTGATCTGATATTTTCGAAGCCGATCGAACAACCTCCTCAAATATTGGAGGTGGTCCATCTCGTTCTTAGACTTGGCAATCATATCATCCACGTAAACTTCAATTTCTTTGTGGATCATATCGTGAAATAGTGTTACCATAGCCCTTTGATAAGTAGCCCCTGCATTCTTAAGCCCAAAAGGCATCACTCTATAACAAAATGTCCCCCATGGTGTGATGAAGGAGGTCTTTTCTCTATCTTCAATAGCCAATTTGATTTGGTTGTACCCCGCATATCCATCCATAAAAGAATAAAGAGTGTTTGTGGCGGTGTGATCTACTAACATATCAATATGTGGTAAGGGAAAATTGTCTTTTGGACTTGCACGATTCAGATCCCTATAATCGATGCACACTCTGATTTTTCCATTTTTCTTTATGACTGACACAATGTTTGCTAGCCATTTGGGGTATTTGGACACGATTAGAAAATTGGCATCCAACTATTTTTGCAAGGACCATTCAGACTTGCACTTCCTCCTTAATTTTCAAGGACCATTCGGGCTTTACTCTTCTGAGCTTCTGTTTTACTGGCTGAAATCCCTCTTTCAATGGTAATTTGTATTCCATGACGCTTTCATCAATTCCAGGCATATCGTGGTACGACCATACGAACACATCTACATATTCTCTTAATAACTGTATCAACCCTTCCCTGACGTTATTATCAATTTGGGTGTCAATATTTACTTCTTTCTTATCACCTTCTTGTCCCAAATTGATAGCCTCAGTTTTTTTCTGATGGGATTGTATCACTTGAGCTTCTTTTTCTAACAATCTTTGCATGTCTGGGAAAATGGTCCCCTCCTCACTGTCTGGCTCAATCCATTCGTCTTCAACTTTTAAATCATACAGAGAGTTCTCAATCACAGACATGACTGTTTATATGGTTTTGTTTTAGGTTCATATTTTATTAATTATGGGAGAATAATGAGAGAGAAGAGAAAATAAAAGAATATGAATATTATGACAAATGTCTCATTGTATTGATTAAAAGAGAAATATTTACAAAGCCCTTTTAATAAAAAAAACCCCGTGGTCATGGGCAGGGACTACGAGAGATACATCGGAAGTTTTTTATTATTATTTTTTATATTATTATTTTTTTTAGCCAAAAGATGTACAAAATGAGGATCCCTAGTTAGATGACCTTCTCTATCCCTCCCTTTCACTCTGGTTGTGATAAGGGCATGTCGTCCACCTTAGGATCAGTAGCGTCGAAAGTAATCCACCTGGCATCCAACAATTCTTGAACCCTATATTTCAGGTTCATGCAATTCTCTACGGAATGTTCAGGAGCGCTCGAGTGATAATCACATTATTCGTTGAGCTTGTACTAGCCGGGGTAACGTGGACCCATCTTCTTTGGAGGGATACGTGTTAGGAGCTTGGCCTCTAACAACTTTGGCAGCAGACTCTCATAGGAGGTTGGAATGAGAGTGAATTTCTTCTCTTGTTTGCGTGACTACCCAACTGGTGGCGTAGAGGAGGAAAGAGTAGCAAGGTTGATGGTGTTCATGTTTCCCTCTTTCTTCTGGCCAAAGAGCCTTTTGAATGATGCATGGGATTTCTTGAACTTGGGAGGGAATCGAGTATTTTCCACAAGGTGTACATTGCTTACCTCCTTCACATCAAAGTTGTGTCCCTCTAATGCCCTTAATTTATCCTCTAGGGCAAAAATTTGTTGCTTGGAGACCTCATTGTGGAGGCGTTGCTGGTACATTAGTTCCATCAGCTGTGTCATTTGTTCCTTTATGGCATTAAGCTCAGTGGTGAGCATATAGTTCTGTTCCTTGCTCTTCTTAACTTTTGCACGAGAGTGCGGACAGGGAGAAGACCAACCACTTTCTAAATGATTTAAATATTTTATTATAGTTTTTTTTTTATAAATGATTAGTGTGGGACACATATGTCTTAGACAACAACTTTGGTATTTTCTTGAAAGCTTATGCTTTTAGGAAATACCATACCCACCTTGGTGTGATAGTTCATTTTCAAGGGTCACTAATACACCTTAGCACACTCATCCTTCTTTAGGGGAAGGGTACGAACGCACTTGGGTCTCTTTTGCTTTTGTCTAAGGATATCTAGTGTCCCCTAGAATGAGTGTGCTTATGTATGAGATATGTTATTATGATGATGATTATGCATACTTTCTTTAATGCATTTATTTTCTCTCGTAGTTTTACCACTTATTGGATGATGTGGCATGAATGACATGACTTTGTCAAAAATCTTTTTATTGTAAGAGGTATTTTTATTGCTTTAAATTTTTTATATTTTTTGTAACCCTTTATCTCTTTTGTTGGTCAATGTGACTACTTAGCTTACAAAGAACCTGAAATCATGCTAGCTTAAATGAAGACTGTCCGAGATAAAGTTGGTTTATTTTTATTTCCTTTATTTTTATGGTTTTAAGAATTTTTACTTTTCTTATTTTATTTTAATTGTTGTATGATTATTCTATGCAAATGCATCAAACAAATGCACACACAATTCACTCATCCACGAATAGAACGACAGCGTTTAATCATGAGGTAGGGTTTTCCTGCAGAAAAGTGCATGGTTAAGGCGGTTCTAAACTGTTCTCACCAAGGTCTAAGGTCCCCAAGGTGCCCCCATTATAGGGACTTCTCAATCTCTCAGCCTTCGGACCATGCACGAAACTCTGTGTCAACGTGCTTGGACCAAACGAAGAGAGTTATCACCTTGAATTGGTGGTTTTCCGACAACGGCTGTAGCCCCGTGTGCCAACAAACCGACGTTAGAAAGTATATTTTGTAGTAGTGTGTGGTAGTTAAGGCTTAATTCTTGTTCTTTCTCTTTGAATTCTGTCCCCTTTAAGTCTCACATGGCTTGGGATAGGTGTGTTTCAAGGGTTATATACATGAGACTCTTCTTAAGTTGCTGCCAAGTGACTCAAGTTAGGTGGCTTGCCCAAGTGAGTGTGTTTTGCGCTACAAAAGAGAGAGAAAAAAGGGTTTTACATCTTTGTACAATTTCTTTCAAGGCTTAAGAAAATAAAAGAGCGTGTTTCATATGAGATGCTCCAGAGGATGAAAGCTCTGAAATATCTTCTTCTACCTCTTTTATCTTCTTAGTCATAGGTATTGGTTTTGAAACATAGTTTTGTGAGAGATTCTCTCTAAATTATTGTAAAATGTATTTGATTCTTATATTTAAATTTCATATTCAAAATGACTAATCTTCCTTGACTTATCAATTTAGATTCTCACATCCTCAACTTTCCAATCTAGATTGTTACCTTTTCGGTAATCACTGACAAATAATATTACCAAAAATTCAACACCTATTATTAGACTTTAACGACAGATAGATATGTTGGTAACTACTCACTATCTATTTCCACCTACAATTTCAAATTGTCAATTATTGATAGACATAATAAATCCGTGGATATATAAATTCTACTCATAATATAATTATCAACAAGTTTTTATTTCTTGACACCGTTATAATGTTCAATCGCAGTTCTTATTTCATTTTTGGTTCTTGTTCGATCGTTAGCTAGATACTGTGTGTGCGTGTGTGTGGGGGTGGGGGGCGGGGGAAGGATTATGTTAATTTGAGATTATATATCTTTGTCAGTTGGTTATCTTGACTCCAAAGTCTAAGTTACAATTTTCATAAATTTCATACCATTTACCGTGCAAATAGCGATCTTGTTTAAATCAACTTTGTTTCATGTGCTTTAATACGTTCTTCATTGGGTTCATTAATTTTAATACGGTTGTTGACGTGACATCTCGTGATTCATTCTCTACAGTGCTAACATTGTTTCAATCGGTGCAAAATTTTTGGATACGAGAGTTGAATCTTGGAGTGAATTCGCGTGAAGCGAAACACGAACGCCTAACTCGTTATTGATTCGTGTGATGCACAAAGTGGATCGCGATTCACGTTCATTGAATGAAACAATAACAGTGCAATTATCGAATAAGTAATAGGTGCACCAATTTCGTTAAGTTGTAATACTACGTTAAAATAAAACAAAAATATTAAATTTAACTTTATAAAATTAGTTTACAAAATAAAATTTGTATCTTAATTATATATATTATTATTATTATTTTATATTTTTAATGGTAAGATGTACAACATAATTAAATTAAGGATAAATTAACAAATGAAAAGATGTTGCCTTATTAACAAAGAAGAAGCCTACACATCAACAAGTGTTGATATTTTAATGTTTAAAAGATGCTAACAGGACTATGATTGTCTTATCTTGCGTACATACGGAGAAAACATAGTTGTTCGGGAAGATTATAGTCTCATAACTAAATGTTTATGGAAAAACAAAAGACCTATAAGTAACTTTTTTTTTCATGGTTCTCTAGGTGCGGATTTGCTGAAAAGCATTGGTGGATTGCAACTTTTCATACACGGCATGCCAACCGGTTTGAGTTGGGTGCAAGCCATCCCAAAAGAAAGTTGATTCGGGATTGTCACAAACCCTATATTTCTTAACATTGTTCTCCATGCTCCCACAAATGTACTTCATGCTTAACCCATCACAGCAAGCCTTGAACTTTTCCTTAATGTTATAGTCAGATGGGTGGTTCAGCACTGACATGAAACTGCCGTAAAGGTCAAAAACGAAGAATGTGGAGTGATCTTTTGCTTGTTGGTTCAACTTGGTCACAGCTTCATTCAACGCGTTGTTATGGCGAACTATTAAGTCGTTCAAGGTTTTATTACATTCCTTATATGAGTAAAGACCTGTGACTGGAGGAAGACATCCGAGAGGGTGTATACCACCCACAGCAACTTTCCCCACTCCCAAACTTTGGATGCGATGCATGTTGATGGCAGTTTGATTAACCATTGAGGCGATGAAAGGTGGAAAACCCTAAACACGGGAAAGTGAAACTTAGTAAGTAAAGTGAATATTAATCACTAGAACATTTTGACACATTATTTGTGAGTGTTAGAATAACATGTTACACTCTTTTTAATGATACAAAAGACAAAATAATTGTTTGAAGTGAAAAACAAACTAGTATGATGTGTTCACCCTAAACACACTTATTTAGATCTTGCTCACATGATTTTTTGGATTTTTAGCTTTTTCCAAATTGTTTCGAAAGACAAAAATGTTTGCATGTTGATTCGTTGCACCTTTTATATTACTTTTGCAAAAGGCAAAAAAATGATTTTTTTTTTAATTTATAAAATTTTACATTTTTTTTCTTTTAATTTTCTAATCTTCAATTTCGCTCTTGCTCTTCCTTTAATTTAGAAAATGTAAAAATTTAGCCCAATCATCAATATTTTGTATATTTTATTTCTTTTATATTTAGTCAAATTAAACCCTAGACGTAACTTATTCATTTGAGGTATTCATTAAAAAAAATATTTAATTAATTAAAAGCGCGCAAATCATTAAAGAAAAACTAAAATTACAAGCTAGCTTTATTTTTATTGCTACTCTCGTTGAGATAAAAGCATTTAATTATGAATTACTTGTCATCTAATTAATTTTTAAAGAAATTTAAGTTACAAAATATAGAAAACATTTAAAATCTAAGTTTGGAAGTTTCTTCAAACAGGACGAGAAAACAATAGATAATTAGAGAGTACTATATATGCATTAATGGAGTTAATTTACCTCAGCAGAGCCATCATTGATCATGAAATAAGTGTAATCATTTCCACAAACGGAGAGATAGGCCACTGACTTGCTAAGATCTGAGGTGGTGTACACATTTTCTTTGATCAATTGCTCCAAGAAATCGATTTGGGTTGTCATATTTGGCCTTTTGGCCATTGTGCTAAACACACCAGTTCCAGCATATGCAAAATTTATCCCGTATTTCAATCGGTGCCTCATCAATCTCCTGAATTTATAGGGAGCTGGTGATTTCAGTCCCAAATATTTAGCTGGTGGAAGATATATATCAAAGAACATAAGAATTAAGAGAAACTCTATTTCTTCAAATTGTATACGAATTTTTATATCTCAAGGAGAAAAACAGAGTGAGATAAACTGATTGGTGCATGTCACGAAGAAAAAAAAAAACATCGTAAAATAACTTTAAAGCAAAATGAATGGTTAAGATGATTCATCCCCATCTCTTATATTTTTTAATATAATTATTTTTAAAAATAGTGTATATATCTTTAATCCTTATTTTATAAGGAGATGAATGACAAAATTATAAATAATTCTTTTGTTATATTTAAATGATTAATTTGTAAAAGCTTCTTTATTTTCACAAAGAGTTTTAACTGTTTCAAAGATAAATATGTTGTTTGAATATTTAATTTTATAATCAATTGAAATTAACTTTTACTTGATCTAAAAATTCTAATTTATATATATATATATATATATATATATATATATATATATATATATATATATATATATATATATATATATATATATATATATATATATATATATATATGATATTAAGTTATTCAACTAAGGATTTAAAATATAATAATTTAAATTTTTTGTGCAAACAAAATATTTTAAAATGTACGAATTTAAATAAAAAATATTTTAATTAGTGATATTTTACCAATTTCTTTACAAATTTAAAATCCTTCTTCTAAACATCCTTAATGTTAATCTAAGAATATTATTTAGATTAAAATAAAAAAAATATGAAAATAAGAGTAATCTCTTTTAGAACTACACCAATGTTTTGTTCTTCTTATATACACTTATAATTTTTTTTTATTAAAAATATTCATTATATAATATTATCTATAAATATAATTTTATTTTTCTTCTTATATTCATTTAACTTTTATATCTTATTTCTGGTATTCCTTCGAAAGCAATTTAGATCCAACCAAAATATTTAAAAAGATATCTATATATATAAATAATTTTTTGTAGTGCAAACCAAATCATCTTTATAAAATTGGTGTATATCTAGATATTCTCAAAAAATATACATATAATAATTTAAATTTATTTGTTCAAACAAAATATTTAAAATTGTACGAATTTAAACATAAATTATTTTAAGTCATGATATTTCACCAATTTCTTTAAAAATTTACGATCCTTCTTCTAAACATCCTTAATGTTAATCTAAGAATGTTATTTAGATTAAAATAAATAAAATACGAAAATAAGAGTTATCTTTTTTAGAACTACACGTTTGTTCTTCTTATATACACTTATAATTTTTATTATTAAAAATGATTCATTATAATATAATATTATCTATAAATATAATTTTATTTCTCTTCTAATATTCATTTAACTTTTATATCTTATTTCTGGTATTCCTGCGAAAGCAATTTAGATCCAAACAAAATATTTAAAAATATATCTATATAAATAATTTCTTTGTAGTGCAAACCAAATAATCTTTATAAAATTGGTGTATATCTAGATATTCTAAAAAAATATATAATAATTTAAATTTATTTGTACAAACAAAATATTTAAAAATGTACGAATTTAAATAAAACTTATTTTAATTTCATGATATTTCACCAATTTCTTTAAAAATTTTAAAATCCTTTCTAAACATCCTTAATGTTAATCTAAGAATGTTATTTAGATTAAAATAAATAAAATAGGAAAATAAGAGTTATCTCTTTTAGAACTACACCTACGTTTGTTCTTCTTATATACACTTATAATTTTTTTTATATAAAAAATGATTCATTATGATATAATATTATCTATAAATATAATTTTATTTGTCTTCTTATATTCATTTAACTTTTATATCTTATTTATGGTATTCCTCCGAAAGCAATTTAGATCCTAACAAAATATTTAAAAATATATTTATATAAATAATTTTTTTAGTGCAAACCAAATAATCTTTATAAAATTGGTGTATATCTACATATTCTAAAAAAAAATATATAATAATTTAAATTTATTTGTGCAAACAAAATATTTAAAAATATACGAATTTAAATAAAAAATATTTTAATTCATGATATTTCACCAATTTCTATAAAAATTTAAAATCCTTCTTCTAAACATCCTTAATGTTAACCTAAGAATGTTATTTAGATTAAAATAAATAAACTACGAAAATAAGAGTTATCTTTTTTAGAACTACACGTTTGTTCTTCTTATATACAATTATAATTTTCTTTTATTAAAAATGATTTATTATGATATAATATTATCAATAAATATAATTTTATTTCTCTTCTTATATTCATTTAACTTTTGTATCTTATTTCTGGTATTCCTCCGAGAGCAATTTAGATCTGTAGGATGTCACCAAAGCATATAGTTTCATTAATGTTATACAAAGGAATTGATAAAAGCATCTGAATAAAAGAAACGAAAAAAAATATGCTATTTGGTAGTGATCCAATTAATTGACAGCGTGAAGAGAAAGAAAGAGACGAACACGTACCAATGTAGTCTGTCAGAACTCTACCGTCGGAGAATCTTCCGGATGGTTTTCCGGGAAAAGTTATGCCATAAGGATCTTTCCACGAACCAGGTTCATCTATTTTCACGTTCCCGGTATCAACGTAGGAGTCCCCAAAAACGAACAAAGTTGTTGGGGAACCATTCTTCTCACTATGTTGCGATGCCTCACCTGATTGCAGCCCTATGTGTAATTTTCTTTAATTGCTTACATACATGAGATCATATATTGCATATAAAAAATTAATGTTATGTTCTTCTTTTATTGTTTGTTAGTTCGAGGTAGAGGGACATACATATGCATATTTATGATATTTAATTGGTATAAATGTAATGGTAATCATGCATGCGTGTATATATACCTGAGAGAATTAGAAATGCTAGAGAAAGACATAGGACAGAAAATTGTTGTTTGTGCGTCTCCATCGTGAATTATTACTTTCAATGTTTAAGTAAAGTTAATTAAAAGGAGGAAAGCTCAAGGAATTATTATAGATTAATCTGTTGAAGGAAAGAATTCTTAATGTGCTTGATTTAGGGTAGGAGCACTGAAGATGCATAATTGTAGATAATGATGATTAATTGATCTATGGATATGAGTTTTTATAGTGAAAGGAGAAAGACGTGCCCAGCGCTTTGACTTTTCTGATTTTGACACCAAGAATTCAATTATATGTGTCGTTGCGCTGTGTGTAGTGAAAACAGGCCACACTAAACTCCAATGAAAAAACTCACCTCATTTATTTTCTACCACTCTGCATTGCTGACCAAAAATAAAATATCCATTGTAATAATCCTAGTGTTAATTACTCCCCACATTTCAAAAAGTCTAAGGTTACATAATTATTAATAAATGTTTACTTAATGCAAATCAGATAAATATTTGTTTTTTTTTTAACTTTTATGAAAAATATTTGTACAGGTCTCTACGTCAAGTTGATAGTCACCCAAATTCTAAGATTATCGAAGTTATTATTAAGTTATTATTTAATTAATTGTAGATATCATTTATACAAATTTCACGTTAAAAATATTGGTCATTGGATTCATATTATATTCCGACGTGTAACATCACCCAAGTCTCGTTGAATAATACAAAAGAATAGACTTAGAAAAAAAATAAACGTCGTGCCGTTTTTGTAAATAAAGGATCCAATTTTTAGAAGCCAATGTAAAAGTTTTTTTTTTTTTTTTTTTTTTTACGTCAGGTAACTCTTTAATTGATATAAAAAAATGGTTTTTACGTCGGTCCCTATGAAGTCAAAAGTCGTGTTTTAATCGCTATATAGCTTCTTTTTTCTCTTACACGAGGGTTTTTGAGTAACAATGGTGGCAACAACCAAACCAGTTTTCTCAAAATATATTTCAACCACAGTGAGTGACAAAAATACCTACATTGTGTCTCATTTGTGGTGGTTAACATTTCTCTTCGATTAAATTTGAGTTTTAGAGCGTTTTTTGTATATTTGAGATTAGTGTTCTATGTGTCTCCTCTTTTATGTTGAAATTGAATCCATTATTGTTTTTGAAGATCTCAATCACGTTATTACATAAATGTTTCCACTAGATTATTATTGAAATTGAATTGTTGTAATTTGTTGTTTATAGTTTGTAGGGTTTAGGGTTTTATGATGATAAGTTTGTAGGGTTTAGGATTTAGGGTTGTAAGGGTTTTATGTTCGAAAATAGACAAATTTTAACTCCGATGTCAGATTTGGACGCACAATATATAAAAACGAAAGGAAAAAAAGAAGAATATGCACTAAAAAAAGGGTATTATCTACAAAATATTACCTATGGATAAAAATTCATAGATAAAATATGCATTATATACGAATATTACCTACGAGATTTTATTTGTATGTATATTATCCATTACCTACGGAATTTACCTACGATATAAGAGTAAGAGGTAGGTAATGCTTATTTATTACTTTACCTACTCATTTACCTAGCACTACAAGAAAATCGCGTATTACCGACGGATATTTACCGACGGATTTGTATCCGTCGGAAAATAATTATTACCGACGGAAATTACCGACGGATATAAAATATTTGTGGAATTTGATCTTACCGACGGATATCAACCTCTAACTCTAAGGTACTGGGTTCGAATCCTGCCAATGACAATTCTTTTAATCTGATAATAATTGAAGCCTATAAAATTGTAATAGGGAAAAATAATTAATAATAAATATAAAGGGAAGGGGTATTCTATAAAATAAATAATCTATATAAGTAAAATATTTAATAAATAATAAAAATATTACCGACGGATTTTTGTTATTACCGACGGATTTTGACCGTCGGTAATATCAAAATTTCTTGTAGTGTAGGGATGTGTAATTAAAAAAAACATGTCAGCACCCAAAATGTCAGCACCTAATTCTTTCGAGGTCTTGTATCTTTTACCTACCCATCACCAGACTCCCAATTCGCGCGGACACCTTAGTCTCGACCCATTTCACTTACCATCCTCACCCCTCCAAAGGCTACCCATCACCAGACTCCCAGTCACCAGTCAAGCCTCCACCGTGGCCCACCACACCATTAGCCGTCCAGCCCCCATTCGCCAGAGTCGCAATCCTCCATCACGGGTCGGAGCGACGCCATGGTTTCGACTTTCCAATTTTCGCGTTTTCATTGGTGTGGTTACAACGCCTTTAGGTTGTCCGATAACCGGGCTGAACCTAGGGGCAAGATTTTCGAAAAGGCGCTCTTGGATTGTCCGATAACCGGGCTAATCCAAGAACTAACTTTTTGAGGGTTCTTCTAGAGTCGCCACCGATGTTTTTACCGAAAACATCGAAAAAGGAGTGAAAAGGCGTTGGTTTTCGAAAAACCAACTTTGGTCATTAGAACCAGAGTTGGGTAAGGGAGTTAGTTACGTGTAAAGGAAGTGTTAGTTCCTTTACAACGCCCCTTTCAGGTTCCCTATGATAGGCCAACTATTTAAAATAAATAACCCGTGAAGTACGCTTTTACCCTTTTGTTTTGCGGAATTTAAAGATTATGATTACATGGCCCTATGTCTATTGCATAATTGAAATAAAGCGGTAAAAGAGAGAGGGAGAGTGTAGAAACCTCCGAGGCACGCTTTCTATTAATTCTTTTAAAAAATTTGGTACTTTTTGGCAGCCCTTCGCTCTTTACAACACCGGAATCTCTCAAAAACGCTATAAAAAGCTCTAGAATACACTCATAAACTCCGAAAATGCTTCGGAGGGGTTCTGGAGAGAGAATTTGGAGAGATTTCTAGAGAGAGAGTGTTAAATGAGGGGAATGAGGGCTCCTATTTATAGGGATTCGCGTCTGTCAGGTCGAGACGGGCCATCTCGTCTGACAAGGTCGAGACGGCCGTCTCGCCAAACGAGACAGCGGTCTCGCCACCTTTGCAAGGCGAGACGGCGGTCTTGAGCCTAAAAGGCGAAAATCCTTATTTTTATGCCAAAAATCCCACCTATCCTAGTATGGGGCCTAATAGTCTCTCCTAGTGGCTTCTTAGGTTCATCCATCTTCGAAAAGGAGGTTTTCTGGTCTTTATTATGAGGTCAGGCAAGATTTGGGGTCTACAGCTGCCCCCCCTTTACCCGACTAGTCGACTATTGGCCTGTTGTGCCAAGGAGATCGATTGGAGGGTAAAGGAGTTGACCCTCTTGCCCGGTTGTCCTTCAGATGTTCCGTCTTTGCGGCGGTTGATCTTCTGGGAAAAAGTGTGTTATGCACCTCCAGGATACTCCTTCTGACGGTAGCCGATCCCTTTGGTTGACACATGGTAGAACCTCAGGATACTCCTTCTGACGGTAGCCGATCCTTCGGTTGATGGGTATAAAGCCCCCATCAGGCTGGTAGTTTGCAGTCTGCTGTGTGTTGGACTGGATGGGTATGAACCCCCCATCAGGCTGGTAGTTTGCAGTCCGCTGTGTGTTGGACTGGATGGGTATGAACCCCCCATCAGGCTGGTAGTTTGCAGTCCGCTGAGTGTTGGACTGGATGGGTATGAACCCCCCATCAGGCTGGTAGTTGCAGTCCGCTGTGTAGGACTGGTGGTGGCGGCGGCTTACTGCTCGGGTGGCTCATGCGCCGAGCGTTGAGATGTGCTTTCTTTGTTTTTGTTTGTCTTTTCTGGGAATTGTCGTCCGGTCTGCGCTGGGGATTTTGTTGGTGTTCATCCAGCTTGTTGATTGCTGGGGATTCTTTGTTTTTGATCTTTCTATGGTGATCACCCGACTCTCGCTGGTTGGTCGGGTATTGCTGGTTGTTTTACATAACTGACGAGGTCTTTCCGGGGTACCCCTGAGTGCTTTTTATTTATGCAAGTATGAAGCTGACCCTTTTTACATGAATGTCTTTTATTTATTTGAAGTATATTTGTTTGTTTCGATTTTGACAAAGTCCTTTTCGTGTAACTACTTGTGTGTGGATGTTTTTGATGCAATTTTATTTTAGTTGGGGGGCATCTAGAAAGTGATTGGTACTTTCTGTTTGTTCTCTCGTGACTCTTCTTTTTGTTTTAGCCCTATCTTTTCCCTAGACCGCCTTTTGCAGGTTTTCGATCTAGCGGGCTTAATTCTTGCTTAAGATATTTTGGTGGTTTTTTTCTTTTTATGAAGGCCTTAACTTTTGCCTAGACCGCCCTTTACGGGTTTTCGATCTAGCAGGCTATCCTATATTTTTTTGCTTGGGAAGGCCCTGGTCGGTGCTGTTTGTCTTGTTTTTCTTATGCTTTCTTTTTTCGCTTATGTTTCATTAATACAGAGGCATTCTTGCAAGTAGGTAAAGAGAAAAGAAGACAATTTTTATTTATGTGAACGAATGATTTATTTCTATAGGAGGATTTACAAAGGATTTTAGAAGCAGGGCTGGCCAAGGTTGGCTGAATTGTATAGGGTGTAACAACCATGTCCATGATTTATGTTTCTCTGTTTTTCCTGGTCGCTTCAATTGAGATGCTCGAACTCAGAGTGAAGATCATGCGAAGTCTTCTTGCTCTGTGAAGGTATTACCTTAGTCGCCTTTGCGGTTTTCGGCTAAGGTAATCATTGCTCTTTTTGTTGTTTTTTTTTTTGAACCTCTAATTTTTGCCTAGGACGTATCCTAGCGAGGAATGCGGACCCTATCTTTTGCCCAGGACGCTCTTTACGAGTTTTCATCCTGACGGGTCATGAACAATGTTTTCAAGCGTAGTATTTCTTTACTGCATCTGAGTTGACAGGATGTCGAAGCTCTTCTCCGTCCATGTTAGTGAGGATGAGGGCTCCTCCTGAGAAGGCTCGCTTAACCACAAAGGGTCCTTCGTAGTTTGCTGTCCATTTCTCGATTTTGTCTTTCTGGGTTGGTAGCAGTTTCTTTATTACTAGATCCCCTTCTTGGAAGGTGCGGGGATTGACCTTCTTATCGTAGGCTTTCTTGATCTTCTTTTGATAAACTTGCCCCCGACATATGGCGTCCAGCCGTTTTTCTTCGATTAGGTTCAGCTGATCGTATCGACTTTGGACCCATTCGGCTTCTGTCAACTTTGCTTCCATAACAACTCGTAGGGAGGGTATTGACCTCTGCAGTGAGCTTTCGGTTTTGTTCCTCTAGGTTCTCCATTGCTCTGGCCTTTTGTGCACGATTTCGGATGGGGAGAGGACCAACCACTTTCTAGAATTCTCGGAAGAAATTTATTAATGCATGTTGAGTGTCGAACTAACATGGATATGTAAATTTCTTCCCCAAGACGTCCCCAAGAGGATCCCTGCCTACTCCGAAGGGTTAACAAAAATACTCCTCACGGCTCAACATTACCGCCACATGAGTCATCGAGCACACTCACCCAAAGTCTCCTCCACACTCCCCAATGGAGAATAAAGGCTTCAAGAGCCCATCATCATCAACAGTCAAAAGAGTTCAAACCATCAAGGGCTCAACAAAAAGAAAGAAAAGAAAAGAAGAGAAAAGAAAACCCTTGCATCCCCAGCGGATGTCCAAAAAGGCCATGACAGAGAGGGCCGAATAAAAATCCTCAAGTGGATCTCCAAAAAATTCTACAAAAAGGAATCAGAAATTCCCATCCCCTAGTGGAATAAGAGCTTCACAAGTATAGCTCACATCAACATCAATCAAGGAGCCAAGACTCCATTCCTAGAAAAGAAAAATCAGATCCCCAGGAAGTCAACTAATTCACTGGTGGATCACTAAAGAAATAAAACGTCATCCCTAGTAGACCTCCCAAAAAAGAAGGAAAAAAGCCAGCGTAATAAAAAGAGACTAAAAAGTAAAAAGGCTTACGCATTATCCCCATAAAAAAGCCAGATTTCAAAATCGCGATAAAAAAGAGATAAATCGCGAAAAAAAGGCGAAATCAATCCTAACTTTTACGCAATCAATAAAATTCCTACGTGGGTCACCGCAGAAAAGGGAAAATCAACGAAAAAGAAGGAATCGGAAATTCCAATGAAACAAGAGTATCGACAAAGCCATCTCATACCAACAACATCTAACAAGGAGTCAAAACTTCATTCCCTCAAAGGGGAAATCAAAATTAGATCCCCGGGAAGGCAACCAATTCCCCGGTGGATCAATAAAAAAGAAAGATCATCCCCAGTGAGCCTACTGCAAAGGCAAAACTTCATATTCATCCTCAGAATGTCATTTTCCTATGCATAGGCAAGACCTGGCAAGCAAGAGCCAACATCCCCATAAGGGAATATCAGCCTAGTCAGAGGCAAAACAAATGCAGCCAAAAGTCTTCACTTCCGATGAAGCATCTGCCTACTCAGAGGCATTACCAGAAACTCAATGGAGTATCTGCCTGCTCAGAGGCACCATCAAAATCAACAAAAATTTCAATGGATATCTGCCTACTAAAGAGGCCTCACCAAGATCAACAAATCCCTAGAGGATTCCTGCCTACCTAAGAGGCACTCATCAAAAATTCCCGACAACCAGCAAAGTCGGATGACCACTACCAAAAGATAAAAATCAAAGAATCCCCAACAACCAACAAACTGGACGAACACCAACAGAATCCCCGACACAGACCGGATGACAATTCCCAGAAAAGACAAACCAAGACAAGAGAACGCATCTTAGCGCTAGGCGCATGAGCCACCCGAATAGTAAGCCGCCGCCACCACCAGTCCTACGTAGTGGATTATACCAGCCTGATAGGGGGCTCATACCTATCAACCCGCGCACGCGAGTGCGCCTGATCTGCGCTCAAGTCGGATCAGTAAGTCGCAACTACCAGCCTGATGGGGGGTTCATACCCATCCAGTCCAACACACAGCGGACTGCAACTACCAGCCTGATGGGGGGTTTATACCCATCAATCGAAGGATCGGCTACCATCAGAAGGAGTATCCTGAGGTTCTACCTATTAGAAAAAGAGGCTGAGATCAAGAGGGGGGGTGAATTGATCTTTGAAAGATTTTCGCAAATTTACAGATTATCTATTTCTCAGATTAAGATTACAGATCAGTTCTTGAATCACACAACAAGCAATCAAAAAATAAATGCAGTCACAAAATTAAAGAAGAGAAAGGTTTAGAAAGATATCACCAAGGTTTATACTGGTTCACCCAATCCCAGGGCTACGTCCAGTCTCCAGCCA